CAGATATGAGTGATGCGAATAGAAAATGTATTGTTAATAATTGTTATTGAGACGGAATCAGTGTCAAGAAGGATGAGTACAAGGCATTCAAATATTACCTAAAAGCTGCAGACATAGGTCATGCTCATAGAACAAATATAGTTAGTCTTTGTTATAATAATGGAATTAGTATTGAGAAGGATGAGTACAAGGCGTTCAGATATTGTCTGAAAGCCACAAACATGAGTGATACTCAGGAAATATATAATGTTGGCTATTGTTATCAAGATAGAATCAGTGTTAAGAAGGATGAGTACAAGGCATTCAAATATTACCTGAAAGCTGCAAATATAGATAATATTGATGGAATATGTAATGTCAGTGATTGTTATTGAGATGGAATTGGTGTTGAGAAGGATGAGTACAAGGCGTTCGAAAGGTGATTAAATATTTTCAAAAATCTGCAGATATGAGTGATGCGAATAGAAAATGTATTGTTAATAATTGTTATTGAGACGGAATCAGTGTCAAGAAAGACAGACATAAGGCATTTGAATATTTTCAAAAAGCTAGTGATATGGATCATAGTAGTAGTATATTTAGTATTGGTAATTGTTACTCAGATGGAACTAGTATTAAGATGGACTTAAAAAAGGTGTTTGAGTATTACCAGAAAGCCGCAGACTTAGGTTATGCTATTGGAACATTTTATGTTAGTCATTGTTATCATAATAGAATCAGTGTCAAAAAAAATGAACAAGAGGTGTTCAAACAATACCAGAAAGCCGCTAATATTTGTGATATTAATAGTATAATATGGTTAGGATATTGTTATCGAAATGGTATTGGAATATTAATAAATATAGAAAAAGCTAACTATTGGTTTCATATGAATAGGATAAATTTTTATAAAATTGTCAAAACTGAATATAAAGATATTGATATTGACAGTGATATTAAAACATTATTAGGTAATGATAAATATTAATTAGTTTTAATTTTCTATAGTAAATTTAAAAATATTAGACAAATCAGAAAAGGTAGTTTTGCGAATGTTTATAAAACATTTTGGACAAGATATGTAAGTTTTGATAGTACAAATAGCATGATTACTTTCCCTATTGCATTGAAAGAATTTCATAAAAATGATTATTTAAATGAGGTATTTTATTTAATTTGATACATTTATTTTATTTTATTTAATTTGATGCATTTATTTTATTTTTTGATGTTTTTAAAAGTTAAAAGTGTACTGTGAGATTAGAATTGAAAATTCTTCATTTATGAAATGTTATAGTATATCAAAAAATGAAAATAGATTTTATATTCTTATTTTGGAATATGCAGAATTGGGTTCTTTACATCAAAATCTTCAAGCTGTGTCTCAATTAGAATGGAAAGATAAGTTAAAACTGCTATTTATCATAATTACTGATCTTAGAGTGATTTATTCACTGGGAATTATTTACCAAGATTTGCATAGTGGTAATATCTTACAAAATACATTAGATAATGCGTACATTGTAGATTTAGGTCTTTTAGTGCAATATCTGAAACAAAATGATAGTGAAATTTATGGGGTCTTGCCATATATTGCTTCAGAAGTTTTTGATAATAAAACATATACTATCAAATCAGATATTTATAGTTTTGGGATTATCATGTAGGAAATATTATATGGAAAAGATGTGAGAAATTACTACAATATGGATAATAATATTCAAGATCTGATAAGACAAATTGTTTAAGATAATTTACGACCACTAGTTAATAAAGAATCTTCACAACATTATGTGAATTTGATGGAAAAATGTTGGGATAAAGAACCAAAAAATCAACTATCAGCAGAAGAACTTTATAAAACCTTTAAGAAATTGAAAGATGATGAGCAGTTGATTTTAGTACTAAATGAATCTAATTGTGAGTTGTTAGAAGTTAAAAAGTCTGATTTAGATCCTTATGATAGTGGAAGCAATCATATTTTATTAGAAGATTTGTCCTTTAATAGCAATGATCAATATTGTATTGATAATTATAATAGTATAAATAATAAATAAATAAAGTTATGGTAATCTTAGTAGTTATCAGACTAAGTTTTGAGGTTATATTTAAACGATTATTGTTATATTTACTGATAATATATTTAATAACTTTACATTTTCTGAACAAAATAAATACAAGTTTTTTTTTTTTTTTTTTACTTTTAAGGTGGCTTACATTGCCGAGCGGATTTTATTAGTTGG